TGAGAACACACTCTAGGACAGTTGCTATGCCCAAGAGTAGTTGGCTAATACAAAATGCATCCATGGCTTTTTGTGTGTGTGCTTTTGGTTTTGTATTTTTGTGTCAATTTTTTGTTTTGTTTTGAGCTTAGTATTTTTGAGAGAGAGAGAGAGAGAGAGAGAGAGAGAGAGGATAGATAAATAGAAAGAGAGAGAGCGCATGAAGTTGGAAGTTGGGTGGGTAGGGAGATGGGGAAGAGAGGAGGACCTGGGAGGAGTTGGGGGACGGAGAAGTATTAACAAAATATATTGTGTGAAAACAATTAAAAAGAGGGGGGAAAGCAGGCACTGGGGGGCATCTGTATTAGTCAAGGCTCCTAACCATCACAGTCCCCTAAAAGGCATCCTGAGCTGTACCAAGGACCAAACTGTCTCCTGCAACTTTTAACAGTAACACCTATTCTTCCACCTTTAAGGAGTGGATGGAGGGTGGTGTAGGGGTAAGGAGGAAGTAGCAAGAGGAGAGGAGGGAGTGGGAACTGGGATTGGTATGTAAAATGAGAAAAGTTCTTTAAAATGAAGAAGGATAAAAAAGAAATTGGACATTCACATTTAAAAATCACAAGTTAGAATTTTTGCTTCCATTATACACAAGCACTGACTCATGGTCCCTTGTCCTAAATGTAAGAGCCAAAGTTTATATAGAAAGACAGGCAAAAGAGATCATGCATAAAGATGAACTATAAATGGTTAATAATCTTGAAAAAAGTATTAACCTAGGAATGAATAAATAGTAACAAGCTATAGTAGTTTAGTGCCTGCAATGTCAAAACTCAGGATAAAAGAGACATAAAAGCAAGGCAAAATTACTCCAAAACATGCTAACCCCTCAATTACCTAAAATGTAAAAATGGCCTCAACTCACCAATAAAGAGATGCACAGCAGCTGGCTGGATTTAAAAGAAGAACAAGACACATACCTCGTTGGTTGTCTTAGGGTCTCTATTGCTATGACCAAAGCAACTTGGAGTGGACTGAGTTTATTTTGCTTATGTTTCCACATCATAGTCCATCATCAAAGGAAAGTCAGAGCAAGGAACTGGAGGCAGGAACTGAAGCCGAGGCCATGGAGGGGTGCTGCTTACTGGATTACTACCCTTGAGTTGCTCAGCCTGCTCTCTTGCAGCATCTCATGACCTGAATCCCAGGGGTGGCACCACCCACAATGGGTTGCCCCCCCCCCATCAATCACTAATTAGAAAATGTACCACAGGCTTTCCCACAAGCCAATCTGTTGAGGATGAGTTTTTCCTTTTTCTAAAATGACTGTAGCTTGTGTCAAATTGATATAAAAACTAGCCAGCTGGAAAAGACATTAGCATATTGGGAGTGAAAGGGTGGGAAAAATCCTTCAAATGGATATAAGACAAAAATAAGATTACAAAGCTATTCTGATGTCTGATAAAGTAGACTTCAAACCTAAATTATAAGAAATGAAGAAGACCACAAGATACTAATAAAAGGAATCATAATAAAAAAGATCTAACCATTATAAAAATATATGCACTAAATGGTAGGGCTCCCAATTTGATAAACTCTAATGAAGTTTAAAAAGCCAGATAAGTCCTTATATAAAAACGTCTAGTGGCTTCATCTCTACAAGGGTCACCCAAACTAAAAGAAAAGAAACTTCAGTTAAACTGCACTACAGATCAAATGGACTTAACAGATACCCACAGATATCCAATAAAATTCTTTGCAGCAGTCAATTTCATCTTCTATAAAAACAGAACACATTCTAGGCCACAAGTCAAGCCCAAACACATTTTCTTGAATCTTATCCAATCATATCTCACCCAAACTAGGAATCAATAGCAAGAAAAACAAAAATACATGAGGGCTGAACACTGAGTAAATTGGGAAATAATTAAAAATAATTCCTGGAATCAAATGAAAAGAAGTTACAAATTACTAGAGTCTTTGTGATACAGCTAAGGCAGTTCCAAGAGGGAAGTTTGTACTCAAGGGTCCTTACATTAAAAAACCTAGGCCAGATGTGGCAGCGCATGCCTTTCATCCCAGCACTGGAACAAGCAGAAGCAGGTGGTTTCCAGTGAGTTTGAAGCCAACCTGGTCTACATAGTAAGTTCTGGGACATCCAGAGCTATGTAGAGAGACTCTGTCTATAGTTTATTAATTAATTAATTAATTAATATAACACAAACTCTGAATGCTCTCAAATAACATAATGCTGCACCTCAAAGTCATGTAAGAACCAGAACAATCCAAACTAAAATCTGCAGATGGCAAGAAATAATACATGGTAGCACAGATTCGGACTCACCTTAGTCAGAAGGGCTTTTGTCACAAAACAAGCAAACAAACAAAGAAACTACTGGACAGGATGTGTGAAAAGAACCTTTATACACTACTAGTAAGAAAACAAAGTTTTAAAACCCCTATGGAAATCAGAATAAAGTTCTAAAAAAGCTAAAATAGAACTGCCATATGACCCAGCTAGACCACCCCTGGGTGTATAGCCAAAGAAGCTTAAGTCGAAGTCGGTATACCAGAGATATTTGCATAGCCATGTTCATTGCTGCACTCATTCATAATAACTAGTGTACTGGCTGGTTTTGTGTGGTAACTTGACACAAGCTAGAATCATCAGAGGAAGGAGCCTCAGCTGAGGAAATGCCTCCTTGAGACCTAGCTGTAAGGCATTTTCTCAATTAGTGATCAATGAGGGAAGGGCTCAGCTCATGGTGGGTGGTGCCATCCCTGGGTTGGGGGTCCTGGGTTCTATAAGAAGGTGAGCAAGCCATGATGAACAAGCCAGTAAGCAGCTCCCCTCCATGGCCTTTGCATCAGATCCTGCCTCCAGGATCCTGCCCTGTATGAGTGCCTGTCCTGATTTTCTTCAGTGATGAAAAGCAAATGCTGAAGTGTGAGCCAAATAAACCCTTTCCTCCCCAACTTACCTTTTGGTCATGGTGTTTTGTCACATCAATAGAAACCCTAAGGAAGACAACCATGAAATGGAATCAGCCTAGATGATATATATTATATTATATTATATTATATTATATTATATTATATTATATGCAGGAGTCAATTTTCTTCCATCACGTGAGATGTAGGGATTGAATTCCAGTCCTCATGCTTGATAGTGGTGCCATACTCACTGAGCCACCTCACTAGCTTCATTCATAGCAAGAAACTATAAGTTTTCCAACTAAGAACAGGATCATTTACATTGGCAACCCAATAAATAAAATAATTATAAATCTAATAAAATATGAGAGAAGTGCCTAATAACAAAACTTTTAAAGGTGAGGAAAGAAGCCAAGTAACTAAGAGATACTTCATGTGCATAGATAACACTCATTAATCTCAGAAGTCAGTTCTTCCTAACACACTGAACCCAATTCTAAGCCAAATACCAGCAAGTTATCTTATGTACATGGAGAAACTGAAGTTTATGTGGAGAGGCAAATCTTCCAATAGCCAGCACAACACTGAAAGAGAAGCAGACTTACTATAAATTTACAGTGACCAGGACAATATAGAATAGGCAAAAGTTCCCATTATTTTTATACACTTTCTATATTGACTATTTAAGCAAATACTGTATTTGGAATAAAAGATGACATTAAAAGTGAATGAAAGGTTCTTTTTTTTTCTGTTGAAGAAAGCCTTTGAGCTGGGTGTTGGTGGCCCACGCCTTTAATCCTAGCACTTGGGAGGCAGAGGCAGGCAGATCTCAATGAGTTTGAGGTTAGCCTGATGTACAAAGCAAGATCCAGGACAGCCAGGACTGTTACAGCCAGGTTTGTCTTGAAAAACCAAAAAAGAAAAGAAAGAAGAAGAAGAAGAAAAGCCTTTGGGGCTAAGAAAACACATACACACAGCAAGCATATAGAAAGACTATGAAGAGAGGATGGGGAACTCAGCAAGTCAGGAAACCAAAGCCTTACTTCTGCTTGAGGGCTGGGCTTTTGTTTGTTTTATTTTTCTTTCTCTTTTAAGTCTCTGAAGGGTCATCATCCCTTAATTTACTGTTGGTCAGTTTAAAGAAAGACAAGATGGCTAACTGGCCCACAGCTGTTGTGTAAACACGTCCTAATCCAGACTTGAATTTGTTGAGCCACTCCACCAGCAGGGACCCTACTGGCAGGAGCAAAAAGCCCACAAGGCAGTTGTTTGAGGCAGCATGTCCATTTGTAACCTAGGTAGGCCTGGAATTCTTTCTGAAGTCCAGGTTGGCTTAAAACTCATGCCAATCTTTCCTGCCTCAGCCCTTGAGTGCTGGAAGTATAGGAGTGCGCTACCTACCATATTCTGGCTGTAACAGGAAATGTTAAAACAGTAAAAATTGCCAAATCATATCTCTGTATACATACATACACATATGTGTATATATTAAAGATGTATAATAAATATAAATACAAAATATCCAAGTTTTAGCTAAAAGTATATAGTCTTTCAATGTCTCTGGCAGTCTAACATGGTAGTTATTTTGGCCTTTAGGATAAAAGGACTATTTGGACTCACGCCCCTCCCCCCACTTGAAATCCACACACACATTTCATCATGAGAATATCACTGGATGCTCTCCAATCCTAACTTGGATTTTTTGATGGTCTTTGTGAAACCTGAGATAGGAGCAAGCACAGACTTGAAGTACAAAAATGTCAGTGGAGTCCAAGCTGATAAAATAGACATTTATGAAGGCAAAGTTTGCCTTAAATAATTCTCTCTGTTTTTTCCAGATGCTGTTGAGATATATTTCATAAAAAGTATTAGTACATATCAAACACTGGGCTCTGAAGACTATGAGAGTCTCACCGCCATTGAAGACTTTTGTACATGGCTCATCCAAAATGGTGAAAACCAGGTAAAGGTTTACCAAGTCGTAAATGTGATTCCTATTTTGTTTGTTAGATATTGATGGTCTCAGTTCAGAAACTCGGGAGGTCACACAAGTCCCAGGTAAAACTGGGTGTCACATAGGACTGCTGCTGCTTATGATATCAATAGAATAATTTGCTTTTATCATAATACATGAAGTCCTTCAAATCCAGAACATTTTAAGCTCTGCGTTTATAAATTTACTGAGTCAAAACTAGCTACTACCTTTTTTTTTTCATGGTGGTGTTTCCTTTTCAGTCTGACCTTCATCACTTACTAGCCACAATCTCGTCTTCACATTTAAAAGTTATGTAAAATGTCTTAGATGCTATCTTAGCTATGATTTCTAGTGCTGTGATGAAATTTGAAGACAATATAAAACTTTGGGAAGGAAACGGGTTTATTTTAGCTTATGGTTTGACATCACAGTCCATCACTGAGGGCAGTTAGGACAGAAACCCACATGGGATAGGAACCTGGAAGCAGGAAATGAAGCAGAGGCCATGGAGGAGTGCTGCTTACTGGCTTGCTCCTTGTGGCTTGCTCAGCCTACTTTCTTATAGCACCCAAGATCCCCAGGCCACAATGGGCTGGGTCCTCCCCCATTTATCTCTAATGAAATGGCCCAGCTGATATATAGAAGCATTTCCTCAATTGAAATTCCTTCCTCCCAGCTTGTTCACGTTGACATTAAAACTAACCAGCACAGATACTGACATTTTTATTTAATGATCCCATTAGTCTAAGTCATTTGCTTAGAAAGTTATGATGTAAACTTTATGTATTTAAACACAGTAAAGACATTTGTGTGTTCTAAGATTCTAACTTTGAGCTGACCAAGCCATCCTTGGATACATCTGACATGGTCTCATCAGCCATATGACAACTAGCTTAAAAGTGAATGTATAAGCATATGGTTAAGAATTTATGGGGCTGGAGAGATGGCCCAGAGGTTAACGAGCACTGGCTTCTCTTCCAGAGGTCCTGAGTCCAATTCCCAGCAACCACATCGTGGTCCTGAGTTTAATTCTGAGTAACCATATGGTGGTTCACAACCATCTATAGTAGGATCTGATGCCCTCTTCTGACATAAAGGCATATATGAAGATAGAGCACTCACACATAAAAATAACTAAATCTTTAAATGATGAAATGTTACATAAAAGTCCATAAAGTCTAAAGTCCTCTCATTCTCTCTCTCTCTCTCTCTCTCTCTCACACACACACACACACATAAAATTAGTAAGTTCAACCAATTTACAAAAGACAAAAGAAACACAAAAATATGTTTGTATCGATGCATCATTAATGAAAAATAAGTCCCATTTACATGTGTATTAAAAAGGACATACTTAGAAATATTTACCCAGGTAGATAAAATATTTTTGGAATACTGAGAAAACTAAATAAAGAAATCTTTTAAAATCTGAAAAATACAAAGGCATAGAGCTTTGAGATTCCTGAATTATTGGCATTGTTTGCTGAAAATCAGCAGTTGATATCCTTAAATATGTATTACCCAACAACCCCTAAGACTCAGGGATCAGCACTGCAGGAGAGGAGATGGAAAGATTCTAAGAGCCAGGGAGCAGGAGGGAGGACCAGGAGGACTGCTGTGAGATGGTTCCTCTGGACAGAACATGCATGCTTCACCATGAACTCCCAACAAGACCACAGAAGTGGCCAGACCAACCAGGGGAAAGTTCACAAGGTGTTCTCCCAGATGAAAACCTGCAGGCAGTCGGTGACTGAGGAGGGAGAGAGAACAAAATTTTCCTCCTAGGTGAACCCCCTAATATGTTGTCAAGCCTACATGGTGGCCTCTAACCCTGTGTACATACGGATGAGGTCATGAACTTGAGAGGGGAATGTGGTGGTGGGGGGTATGTGAATGAATTTGGAGAGAATGAAGGATAAAAATGAGGTAAATACAGCATACTCATGTATGAAATTCTCAAAACTATTAAAATATGTAAACTCTTTTGCTCAACCCAGATGATGATTATATGTTCAACTTAGTGCTAAAGAAATGTTCTGTTTATACTTTTGAAAATGGATAATTAGGTAATGCCATACATAATTCATAATTCATGACTAAACCTCTTTACTCTTTCTAAATAACACACACATGCATATATATATACATGTATATATATATATATATTAAATAAAGAAATGCTATTACTAGACACCAAAGAGGAGGGGAGAAAGGAATCTACTGAATGACCTAAACAGACGGTTCTCAGAAGTACAGATGCCTAATAAATTGTTTAACATCTGTAGCCATCAGACTGCAGATTAAAGCTTCATTGAAATTCTGTCTCACCTGAGTGAAAATAGATAGAAAATGAAAAACACAAATTTCTAGAAATCAAGACAATAAGTGGCAGCAAATGGCAGCAGTGATATGCTGAAGGAGGGGCTACTGTCTACTTACTATTGGTGGGAATCAGTGTAGAGGCCTCTCTAATATGTAAAACTAAAAGTGCCACATAACCCAGATGTTCCACTTCTAGGCATATGCCCAAAGGGCTCTCTGTCCTACCACAGAGATACTTGCAAATCTGCCTTTATTGCTGTTTGTTTCACAAAAGCAAGGAAGTATGATCAATCTGGATGTCCACTGAGTAAAGCATGGATAGTGGACGTGTGGTACATAAGTGCAGTGAGACTTGATCAGCCAGTAAAGAAAGATGTTAGGAGGCAGAGGCAGGCAGGTCTCTATGAGTTCAAGGCCAGCCTGGTCTATAATGCGAGTTCCAGGACAGTACAGGCTACACAGAGAAACCCTGTCTCAAAAAACTTTTAAAATAATGTCAATGCTATGAAAGAGAAAAGGGAGGAAGGACCTGTTATGGAGAAGAAATAATTATAAAAGCAAAAAATGCAAACTATGATCAGACACTCCACTTTTTAAAATTATAAATAATATTGCTGAAACAATTAGAAAATTTACATGTTTGGTTAATAGTATTGTATCCATGTAACATTTAGAGTGACAATGGTATTGCTAAATAGGATAGTCTTGCTCTGAGAAGACATGGGTTCAATATTTAGGAGTAAAGTTGCTCGATGTCTTTAACTGATTTTTAATAACAATGTATACATATGTACTCATGTTCATATAATATATTTACATATATATATATATATATATATATATATATATATATATATGGGAATCACTTGTGAGTATAGGTAAAAATTTTATGAGTGTTGATTCTGCTATTCTTTGGCTTTTCTGAAAGTTTGAAAAGTGGAAGAAACAAAAGTTGGGGCTATGGAATTTAGGCTGGCATGGAATCCTGACTGTGTGGCCAAAGCAATCTTGAGAAAGAGCTTAGCTTCTATTAGGCCTCTTTACATTGTCTGAAAAGTAAGTACAGCGATAGCTGCTATCCGGTAGAACAGCAGGAAGATTAACTGATACTGTACATGTGAATTAACTGGTGCTACCTCTCAGCAGAAGCATTAAGTCACAATATGGTAGAGGACTTGGGGGAATCATCATTACTGACTGCTTTGGACCAGTTATGTCATTGTGGGGGATCCTTTCACAATGTGCATAACATAGACATGGCTAATTTTATTTTTAATTTTTACCCTCTAAGGAGGCTTACAGATTGCTAAAGTCTACACTGAATTCTGGCATCTATGATGACTGTGGTGGAAAAGTAGCCGAAACCTTTTATAATATGGGCAGTATCTGTTTTGCCAAAGGAGAGGTCAGAAAGGCGATT